CATCACCACCTGCTGGAAAACGGGTCCAGCGTACCATGGACAAAATTGTCAACAGAGGATCTTCAGAAAAAAAACATATCGAAGACACCTGCCAGCATTGATTACCCTGAAATACAGGGGATTGACTGAGCAGGATTTGGAAAATAAAACTCAGAAAAGTTCCTGGATAGAAAGCCTGCTCCATCTGTAGTAGAAAACCTGCTGTCCTTAATCTGCAGACACCTTGGGCCCTGCCTCATGCTAGAAACAGCAACCCTTATGCAAGGAGATACCTGAGTGCTGTATCTGGATGGTGCCTGCCAGCGTTGATTGCTCTGGAGCCCAGCTGATTCTCTTATCCCTCACCTTCTGCAACCCTCTTGCAGGACAGTACACCGGGAGGAGCCACTGGGATGCTATGCTGCCTATACATTTCGATACATTGATTCACAGAGCATACACAGCCTTCGGGCATGTACATAGCTTGCGAATTATACATCGCCTACGGGCTACATACACAAGTTTCCACACATAGTGCTGTCTATACATCTTGATACATAGATACACGGAGCATACACAGCCTTCGGGTATACACATAGTACATTGCGAACTACACAACTATCAGACTGGCGGGGTCTAGTCACTGCGTGGGGTCTAGTATCTGGAGTAGGGACAGGTATGGGCCACCGGAGTTCCTACTGATATTCGGATAGAACTGTCTAGTGGCTATATATAAGGCTTAGACCCTGGCGTAAGGGTAGGGGTATAAGTAGCTCAGGCCAGTCCGAGTTCCGCCTGGCCTTGGGTAAGCTAGGGGAAGGACCATAAGACTGCTTCAATGGGTGCTACCCTGTCTGAAAGCTAGGGCCCAGAGTCTCTTGCGGCCTGTAGTAGATTGTCTGGGCCTGGCGTCCGAAGTTCCTGTTCGACAAGGCTCGTCCGATTCCGCTTCCACCAGGGCTGGGCCGGGAAATCTATCAGCCCTGGTGCCTATCACTGCTGATCAGTCCGAGTGACCTGGCAGTGCCCATTGGTAGGGTAATGGTCCTGAGTGCTGGTCACACTGAGGTAGGATAGTGGTATAGGGGGTGCGCTACTAGGAGTATTGACGTGAGGATGGGATGGGAGGTGGTCTCATATTCCAGGACACCCACGGCCTACTGCTCCAGGTGATCACTGTGCACACAGTGACTGGCCTTCTACAACACCATGGACTTGAAAAAAACAAAAAAAAAGGGAAAAAAAAAAGGCTAGCATATTATTTAATCAAGAGTAACCAGGGGCTGGGAATCCCCCAGAAACAACCCGGACAAATCTGGGGCCAGTGCCCAGCTTAGGCTACCGTCTTCACCCGAATAGAACGCCCGGTCATTATCGCTGTACCTAGACTGCAAGTTGCCCCAAATACAGCTATAATGACCGGGCGGTGTATTCGGGTGAAGACGGTAGTTCCTGGCAAAAGGGGTCCAGGGTCCCTTAGTACTCCAAGCTCAAAGCCCGGCCCATTTTGCCTGCATGGTCTTCTTGCACAGCGGCAGAAGCCCATACATCCCGCCAGATGTGGCACCCATGCAGCCGCGTTGTAGAAAAATGGCTGGCAAACGTACTGGTGGTTCGAACTCCTGGGTTCTGTGTGAAGGAATTTCATGCTTCTGGCTTCATTTCTGCGTCTCCAATGATGATTCGAAAAGCGCAAATCGTCATCATAGCTGATGAATGGGGGGTTGACGAGAAAAAAAAAAGGTAGGAGGGAAGGTGCATTCGACTTTGCCCGTTTGTGAACGGCTTTTTGTTTGGAAGAGGAGTCGTCGTGGTGTGTTTGCGTTGTTTACAACTTCAAGGTGATAATCTTTTTTTTTTTTTTTTAATAATTAAGCTGATAATCTGCGCCTTGAGCACTGGGCCCCCGTTCGTTTGGGGGGAACAAAAAAAAAAAACAAGAAGATCAACGCCCGCTATGCACTACTCACCACCGGTGCAAAAGACAAAACATATGGCGGTGCGTCGTCTTGTGTTCTAGCGGAAGATTCATTCTCATTTTGCGCAATTGGTGAGGAGCACAGCGAGGGCCCTATTCCGAAGTTTGGAAACCCATACTGAAGGGATGGAAAACCCATATGATGCCCACTTTGGTGAAACCATCCTGGTAAGGGCGAACTTGCCACTGGGGTAGGCTGAAGGGAAAAAAAAAAGAAAAAAAAAAGGATATTACATGTGGAAAAAACATTCATCTGGAACATTGGGGACGCAGGACCCAATTTCCAGCAGGTCCTGCTCCCCACCAATAGACGGAGCCCCCAAGGAATGTTAGTGGTATCTGCTCTTGTCAGCACCCCTAGCACTTCCACGGTGCTTTTCGGCAATGCTTTGGAAGACGATTCGTGAGACCCCACATTCATCGGCACTGCGCGTCCAAAACGCTTGGAAATGACGTGGCAGCCGTTTTTACTCAGTTGCCTTTTGCCTGTTCCTCGCGGTTCGGCCCTCCGGAGGGTGTTGGGGGGGAGGGGGCATCGACCTCGGTTCGGCCATCCCATGTGGAAAGGACAGCCAGGGATTGGGTGGGAACCGAGACAACTGGATGTGAAGTTTCTGTACACGGAAAGTTTCCCCTATCGGCGTAACCAGCACCAACCGACCTGCCGAAAATTTGTGCGGCAGTGGGGTCAGGTTTTCCCTTCAAGTTTCCCATCGCTGGGGGCTACGATTTGGATTCGGTGGAAGCTTTCCGGCCGCAAAGCTACTGCCAGTCAGTGGGGTCCACCTCTTATTCATACAGCCATTCTGCCAAATCATCATCCCGCTGACGTTGCCGATCTGTCTAGTAAAAACAACTGCCACTGCATTAAATTTGACATATCTTTTTTGCAAGAAAAAAAAAAAAAGAAAAAAAAAAAAGAAAAAAAAAAGAGAGAGAGAGAGAGATGTTTTTCGCATGATGAAATTGAGCTTTTTTTTGTCACCGATTTGGGCCACAGTTTAGATTTTCCCTGCATGATCATAATATGTATTTTTGTTGACATACCCCTGAAAGTTGGGGTATTTTGCTCGATACCCCTGAAACATGGGTATGCCAAAATGGCCAAAACTTCTGCATCTACCCCTGTCCTGATCATGGGCAACTTCGCCATATGCCCTGGCCCCAGGCTGCAGGGTCCCGTGCATTTCTTTTGCCATCTCCAAGGTCCAACGGCCAGAAATAGGGGGGGCATATAGACAAGTCACAAAGGCCCAGTAGGGGTATATGCAAAAGATGATAGGTCCAAAAGGTGACAGGGGTATTTTACAAATTTTAACAACCGTCAGAGGGGCATGTCGCCATTATCTGCCATACCCATGCCTTTTAGAGGGGTATCTGACACCCGACCCCAACCTCGTCCAAGATTCAATTCACGTAGTCAGGGACGCTGGACCCGATTTCCGGCAGGTGACGATCCCCACCAATAGATGGAGCAGCCAGTAATGGGCCTACTCTCTCTGGGAGGAGGCTGCTCAAATCAACCCCCCTAGTAGACCTAGTCTCGCCTTGAGGGGGAAAAAAAAAAAAAAAAAAAACAGGGCCAACGGCTCCTGGAGCATGGTCCCATTAGCAGTCGGATAGGAGTGTGGCCAAAAAAAAAAAAAAAAAAAAAAAAAGAGTGTGGCCAATCCAGTGTGACACTAGTGTGACACTGAGTGGCAGCGGGCTGACAGGTTCATTACGAATTTCTGGGCTGAGAAAATAGGCGAAAGGCAAAAGAAAAAAAAAGAAACAGAGACCTCCCACCAGAAATTGCGGCAGAGCGCTTCCCAGCCATCAGATCACAAATGATCTAATGATCTGACGGTGGTGGTTGCAACAACAGTGAACAAAGTAACCACCACATTTTCTGGAATAAAACAGCTTGACTTCTGTCACCAGTGATCCTGACACCCTCCATATATATATATATATACTCCGTGATTGAAGGAGGGCTCCACCCAATGAGATAATTCCACAACAGCAAGTAAAATACTGAAAATCTTCTATCCAGTGGGCCTATGGCCGACCCCACTCTCTTTTGGGGTTGGCCACACCCCCAACCGATTGAAAACATTCTGGCGGGAAGCTTTCTTTGCACGGGCATGCCCAGTGTTAAGGAGAGGAGGACGGGAACAAAGATCTCCTTACTTTTTCGGGTAATAAAACAAATGTAAAATACTGACCGCGGGATCACGAGTACTGCACGGCAGGATTTGGGTCACTCAACTGCCCCACAAACTCGTTTCTATCCTATCCCGTTGCTAGTGGAACCATGCTCCTGGGTCACACCCAGTGTTTCTAATAGACAACTTTTAAATTAGCAGTTCTTGAAACAGCTGACGGCAAAAAAAGCGGCCGCTAAATCTGCATTCGAGCCACGTAAAAAAAAAAAAAAAAAAAAAAAAAAGCCGCTGTTTCAACCCCACACTAAACGTGCACATTCTGAAACTAAAACAATGACACCAGCGCCACTTTGTCTTTCCTTGCCTAATATTTCAAACTAAAAAGGTGACTCAGGTGCAGTTTCCCCAACAAGGAAAAAAAAGGATTCTTTCTTTCTTTCTTTCTCTTTGTTCTTTTTTTCCCCCCAAAAGCAGAAAGCCGAGCACTCGAGGGGGCTTTTGAAAAAAAAAAAAAAAAAAAAAGACACTTTCGGAACACACAGAAAAGACCCTAAACCTTCAACACACAAATTCCTTAACCAGCTCAAATGACTCGAAGCCCTTTTCTGACCSMCACCAAGACCGTTTTTCTTTCCAATTTCTTTGCTTTCYCCCCCCCCCCCCCCCCCCCCCTCCTCCCCCAAACCCACCCCACCCACTCCCTTCCCTTCTCATTTTCTAACTGTTACATCGGCATCTCTGTGAGCATATATGTTATCAATCTCAGACTCAGATTCAGATTGTGAAACAAAGCCAACTTCCTTGGACCGTACGGGGAGCGGCGCGCATGTACCTGGTCATCTATCATGGCTTCTAACCGTCACCCGAGTTACGGAGTTTGGGTCAGAATCGGCGAGCGCTGCGATACAGATGGTGAAGCGATTGGACTCGAAGGCAAACTGGCTGTTGTCCGCATTATGCCTGACTGTGGGATTATGGATATTGCAACAACAATTGACAACCATTTTTTCGGGACGCGCGCACTGTTTGGCGGAAAGGAGATGGTATGAAGAGCATGAAATGTATAAGACACAGTGTGCCAAAGAGTGGCATAAAAGCAGAGATCAAGCGCTCACCGACAGACACGCACCTCAACCGAAGGCTGTTGCGCATCACAACAAACAGGAGAGAGGAAAAGATGAAGGAAAAGGAGATGGAAGTGGAGGTGCTGGAAACAACGACGAACTCAGCACTCCAGCAGCAGCAGCAGCAGGAAGAGGAGGAGGAGAAGGACGAGGAGGAGGAGGAGGGTCACCGTGTGGGAACATGAACAAACTCCTTTACTCACCTGCTACCGAAGGCCAAGCTTCCATCTGGCCATTACCCTTATCGTACATCAACGGCAGTCGGACCATACACATCAGCACAGATTTGACATTCCAGGCTAGTATACCCTCAGAGCTGCTCAACAACGCTTTTCACCGTTATTATGACCTTATTTTCAGCCATCGACAGAAACACACTACACATCCTGGACACCGTGTGCATTCGTCTTTGTCTTCGTCGTCGCCATCGTCTTTGTCGTCTTACGGCAACAAGGATCGACAGTTGTGCGCTATGGAAGAGGTTGGCAAGGGTGACGGTTTGCGGTTAGTGAGCGTTATTGTCCTGACATCGTCAGAGAAACTTCAGTTAGAAACCGACGAGTCGTACTTGATGGAGGTTCCCGATTCGGAGGAGGGTGAAGTTCTCATCATGGCCAACAATGTGTACGGTGTCCTGAGAGCTCTTGAAACTTTCAGCCAGCTTTGTACTTATAATTTCGCTACCAAACGTGTGCAGATAAAGCATGCCCCTTGGGTTATTCGGGACTCTCCGAGGTTCCCGCACCGTGGGTTGCTGATCGACACATCGCGGCATTTTCAACCTCTGGCGACGATTAAGGGAGTCGTCGATTCCATGTCTTACGCGAAGCTCAACGTGCTGCACTGGCATCTCGTGGACACTGAGTCCTTTCCCCTGGAGGTGCCCAAGTACCCATCTTTATGGGATGGAGCATTCTCCTCACAAGAGAGGTACACGACGGAAGACGTGGAGGAGATCGTCGAGTACGCGAGGCAACGAGGCGTTCGTGTCATGGTAGAATTGGATGTCCCCGGCCATGCGGCGTCTTGGGGTGTCGGCTACGGAGACGTGTGGCCATCCGTCGACTGTAAACAACCGTTGGATGTTTCGAACAAGTTCACCACCCAGTTGGTCGATGGGGTTCTCGATCATCTTAGTCGCGTGTTCGATTACAAGTTGCTCCACTTGGGAGGGGACGAGGTGGACACTACGTGTTGGGACACCACTCCGCGTATTCGCTCTTGGCTGAATGCTACCAACATCACGAGTCAAGCCGCGTACTTGCGGTTTGTCAGACGTGCGCAGCGATCGGCGTTGACGCACGGAAGGGACCCCGTGAACTGGGAGGATACGTTCAACACGTTCGGTCGGGATCTCGACAACCGAACAATCGTGCAGACTTGGTTGACGGAGGAGGCAGTAGCGAAGGTTGTGGGTGCCGGATTACGCTGCATTGCAAGTTATAGGCGCTTCTGGTACTTGGACGACTTGAAGTTGGAATGGGAGAATTTCTACGGATACGAGCCACTGAAATCGATAACGAGGCCTCAAGAGCAAGCGCTGGTGCTTGGCGGGGAGGTTTGCATGTGGGGCGAGACCGTTGATCCATCGGACATCTTTCAGACCATCTGGCCCAGAGCTGCGGCAGCTGCTGAAAGGCTTTGGAGCCCTAGGCATAAAACAGACAGATATGTGGAGCAGTACGGAGAGGTATCAAAGAGGCTGAAGCGTTTCCGCTGCCTCCTCACGCAACGAGGAGTCGCGGCAGCACCAGTAGAAAGTAGGCCACGATCTCCTCCTCGTGGACCTGGAAGCTGTTTCACACAATGAAAAATGGAATAAGCGAATGAAGAACAGGCAACAATCCAGAGCACAAAAGCGATCTGGTTGTAAGGTAGGACGCAAAAGAGACGACTCAGGTAAATCAACAAGAGAGGAGAGGGAGGAGGAGGAGGAGGAGGAGAGATGTTGATGGTGGAGCTGGAAGCTGTTGACATCAACATGTCTTGGGCCAGAAAGCTGTTGCATGCCAAAGAGATGAGGAAACAGGTGTATTCTGTGTACAATAGGGGCCGTCGAATGACGCGAGGTGCAGAACTTGAACCCAAGAAATGGAAGCGCCGGAAAGAGGGAGCGAGGGAGAAAGAGAGATGGAGAGAGGTGAGGAAGAGAGGGATGAGGGGAAAATGGACATGTGAAAAGAGTGAGTGACAAAGGGGTGAGTAGGGCCGTACAGACAGGTCAGGAGGGAGACGGAGGATGAAAGCGGGATTGTGGTCATCACATTCCCAGGGGTAATTCACATTATCTTGAGACCTACTACACATTATCTTGGCCTCAAATTCCATCCAAGACCACGACTTACTCACTCGCCCGGCCGCTCTCTGAATGAGCAACTCGACGAGTGCATACTAAGGAAACAAGTGAATGAATGAACTAGTGAGTGAATGAGCAAGGGAAGGAGAAGCAAGGTGGGGACCGGGGGGTGGGAAGTGCACGCGCCCCTGCTCTCCCAAGAGAGAGAGAGAGAGAGAGAGAGAGAG